GCCGCCCATCAAGGTGGGAGCCTGGGCTGTGCCTCGGGGCTTGGCCCCTGGTGCCCAGGGCAGGGCTGGCATGCAGGAGCAGGAGTGAGTGGTGAAGGCGGCACTCCAGGTCTGCACTCAGGCAGTCTCTGGCCTGTCCCCCCTCGTGCTCTCCAGGGCCAGGCACGTGGGAGGCATCCGGCAATCGATGGTGGAGGTGCCCACTGCAGGCCAGGCATGGACATAGGGCATCACCGGGTGCCCTCATCTTTGCTCTCATCTGCTCTGTGCCGAGGCTGGGGCCACAGCCGGGCTCATAGTGGCTCATTAAGAGGAGAAGGTCCCAGGAGGCCCTGGCAGCAATCCGGGAAGCCAGGACCTCGCAGCGTCGCTGGCTTTTTCAGGGGCTCTTGGTGGGGTGTCCCTGAGGGTCCCCTCCCCAGGCCAGCTGAGTCCCAGGGCCTCAGCGTGAGGTCGAGGCGCACCCACACCCCCCTGCTCCCCTCCCTCTCGCGCCCGCAGTATGTCATCAAAACGGTGGAGGTGGAGTCGCCCAAGACCAAGCAGGCCCTCAACGAGTCCCAGACCCGGAACCAGCACCTGCAGGAGCAGGTGGCCATGCAGAGACAGGTGCTGAAGGAGATGGAGCAGCAGCTGCAGAGCTCGCACCAGCTGACCGCACAGCTGCGGGCCCAGGTGCGCAGGCCATGGGGGGTGCGTGTTGGGGTGTGCGTGGGGGTGCACATGGCTGTGGGGCAGGACGTGCACGCAGCAGAGGCCAGCCTTTCGTACAGGCCACAGACCCAGGCTCTGGTCCCTCCTCTTCCCGCTGACCGTGTGACCAAGGGCCAGTTTTGTCGGAGTCTCTGTTTCCTCATCTATAAAATGGTGTGATCACACCTCACAGTGCGGCTCAGGGACCGACTTGCAAGAGGCTCTTCTCACAGAGGCCTCGGGCCCAGCACACCCGCCCTTGGAAGGGGCTCTAGTCAGTATCGTAGCAAACACGCTCCCCTGGGCTGTGCGCACCTGTTATGTGCCAGGACCCAGGTTGGTGCTAGAGCAACGTAGGGAAGTAGCTGCATGGAGCTCATGGCTCCGTGGGGGAGAGAGATGGCCATCCTACCCCTCTCCTGCTCGTGTGCATGTGCATACGTGTGTGTGTGGGGGGGGGGGGGAAAAAAAGAAGGGGTTTTTTTTGGCCCCCCCCCCCCCCCCGGCCCCATGTACTGAGCCTCTGGCCTTGGCCGCCAGATCGCCATGTACGAGGCGGAGCTGGAGCGGGCGCACGGGCAGATGCTGGAGGAGATGCAGTCCCTGGAGGAGGACAAGAACCGGGCCATCGAGGAGGCCTTCGCCAGGGCCCAGGTGGAGATGAAGGCCGTGCACGAGAACCTGGCAGGTGAGCCGCCACCTGGC